TATGCCCTATTTTTTTTTAACAACAGAACTATTGTTTCTCAAAGTTAAAATTAGAATCAAATAATACTCCCAAATTTTCTGAATTTTCTAAAAAAAAAAATAGGGCATAAAAAGAGCATATGAGAGCAAATGAAAAAAATATGAGTCCAAGAATAGAACCTTGGAGTACTCCATATATGAGGGGGCCAGAAGAGGAGCCAGATTCTCCGAGGGTTATGCAGAAACTCCTGTCAGACATGTAAGACCGGAGCCAGTCCAGAGCAGAAACATTAATATCACATTGTTCCAGCCTGGAGATCAGAACCCTGTGGTCAGTCGGGTCAAAGGCAGCTGTCGGATCTAAAAGCAAAATAACAGCAGAGTCTCCTGAATCTGGAGCTAATAAAATATCATTAAAAACTTTTTAAAGTGCAGTTTCTGTGCTGTGCAGAGCCTTAAAACCAGATTCAAGAATGCTGTGAGCATTTAAAACAGACTGCAGCTGCACAAAACAATCTTTTCTAAATGTTTTGATAAAAAGGCAAGTTTTGAAATTGGCCTAAATTTTGAAAAATCCATTCAATTCAGTTTATTTATACAGCACCAAGTCACAACAGAAGTCGGCTTAGAAACATCTTTAGTTTTGTTTTTTTCAGTGTTAATAATTTTGAGTTGATGGGTTTTGATTTGGGAGTTGTTTTAACACTTTTGTTGATGAAAAAGCTCTGAGCTGTCAATCAAGCGAGTTGAATGTTAACACCTGTGACTGAGTTAGATTCACTCCAGGTGGAGTTGATAAATGTTTAAGTTGTGACTAATATTATTGTGCTTTTTTCTATGGTGCTGGTAAGTTGATTTGTTTGTTTTGTTTTTATATAAAAAAATTAATATAATTTTTTTTTTTTTTTTTTTTACATTTAACTTGCTCACTGTTGCAGGTCAACACATTTGAACTTATGATGTAAAGAGTGTGTTGTGTGCGTGTAACTTTCTGTAGCCCTGCAGGTGACCACAAGAACTTTCAGATTTGGTGACTTGCATGTTTGGCTAATAAACACAGAATGCACTTTTAATGTTTTGTAAAAGAAAACAATGAATGTTAAAACATTAGTGAAAGAAAATAACACAATTTTAGTTTTAAAGTCACTTAATTGCGTCATAAAATAACAATGTATATTAAAAAATTTACACAGTGAAAGGGAATAACACCATTTTGAGTTAAAAGTGCACTTAAGTGGTGTCATAAAACAACACCAAGGGTGTCAAATATTTAACACTATTAAAGAGTTAAAATAATAACACTTTTCAAAGTGTACCTTTAACTCGGAATCTGTGAGAATTATATAAACTCAGAAAAAGTGTCAAATTGAACACTCTGAGTTGAATTAACACTCCTGTTTTTTGCTGTGTAAAATGTAAGTTAACATTATTTATCTGAGGAGCAGCTTTGAGTTTAACTCCATCGCAGAACTCTCATCTTGAGCAAGCATGAAGGCGACAGTGGAAAGGAAAAACTCTCTCATGAGCAGGGTGCACGTAATTTGTTTTAGTGAGCTCCTCAGGTGAGTACCAGGAGATGGTGTTTGGTACTCACCCCATATGTAGCTTTGTCTAAGTGCCACCTTCCTTGTTGTCCTCCTCAGTGCCACTCCCACTATCCTCTGCTTCAGCTTCCTGTATGGTAGATGATGCAGATGCTGCAGATGTACCTTATTGTCCTTGGTAATTTTTTTTCTCTTTCATTATTTTGTAAAACCCCCTATTTTGTGAAATGTGACACCCTCCACAAGTTTGTATTTGTATCTTGTGCATGGTTCTGTTTTGTGTTGTTAAAGTTCTAAAGAAAAAAAACTGGGCTACATACGTTTATTTGTACGGGCGTTTACCTTCGGGACAAATTGAGGTCGTCGATTGGTCAGTTGCTGACACGCCCACTGAATTGATTGACAGGATGTGTCTCAGATCTGACTTGTGTAAAACAAAAACAAAAAAAATGCTGAGGTCGCCCACCGGCCCTGGGTGGAGGTGGGGCGGCACAGGTGCAGCGGTAGCGGTGTTCTGAGTTTTAATGCTGTTAATAAAAAGTTCTTTAAAAAAAAACAGTGAGCGCCGGCCCTTCAGCCCACACATCAGACCGGCCCGCCAGGAAATATCCCGCTCCTCTCGATTAGCCATTCCAGGCCTGGGTGTTGATAACACGACGGTCGAGTATGCAAAGGCGTGTGGTAACACAGGTGAAGTTACGCATTCCTGATTGTTGTTGTGCATGCGTATCAGTACACCCTGCTCATGAGGAAGAAACCTTTAGCAGAACCAGGCTCAGGACAAGCGGCCATCTGCTTCGACTGGCTGGGTTTGGTAGGAACAGATACACAATGGCAGGTCAAGAATCACATGTTAAGATAGAAATAGTATAAAATAAACTATTCAATTTTAGTAAATCATTTAAGGAAATGAGGTCAATTTGTCCTCCAGTAGTCTAAACTTCAGGCAGCACAAGCCAACCTTAACTATAGGATTTATCAAAAAGGAAAGTCTTAAAACTGGACAATGTGTCAGCCTCATGGACAGAAACTGGAAGTTGGTTCCACAAGAGAGGAGCCTGATAACTGAAAGATCTGCCTCCCATTCTGCTTTTGGAAACTCTAGGAACCATAAGTAAACCTGCAGCCTGAGACCAAAGTGCTCTGTTAGGAAAATATGGAACAATAAGATCTGTAATATAAGATGGAGCTAGGTTGTTGAGGGCTTTGTAGGTTAGAAGTAAGATTTTGAATTCAATTCTGGATTTGACAAGGAGCCAATGGACAGAAGCTAAAACTGGAGAGATATGATCACTCACACTAACTCCAGTTAAGACTCTGGCAGCAGCATTTTGGATTAACAGAAGACGTTTTAAAGAAGTATTTGGACACCAGATAACAAACCATTGCAATAGTCCAGTCTAGACGTGACAAATGCATTAAATAGTTTTTCTGCATCAATTTTAGATAAGATTTTGGTAACTTTAAATTGTCCATAGTTGAGAGAGTGAATGGGTGTTTGTCTCATTTGTCTCCATGTGACCCTGTGATGGACTGGAGATCTGTCCACGGTGTACCCCACCTCTCGCACAGTGATCGCTGGACATGGACACCAGAAACCCCCACAACCCAAAATGGAAGAAGCGGGTAAAAGGTAATGGATGGATGTTTCTGTTCATTGCCCTGAGATGACTTCTGTTGTGACTTGGTGCTAAATAAATAAACTGAATTGAAATTAGAATTTTGTAGGATTCAGGCAGGAAATAAATGGTTGGGCCTGGAGTCACGCACACTCCTTTTTATAAATTTTTCATTCCCTCGTGACCCTCAACAGGATCACGGGGAAGCCGAAGCTGTGACTATACAAAAGACGAGATGATGGACAAATCACCTTTGCGTCATGAACAAATGTGCGCACACTCAATTAATCTAATACACTTCATTATGGGACAAAGCTGTGGTTTTAGATAAAATCCAACCAGGTGAACTCCACGCAATAATTTATTTCAAGGTGGAAACCATTGTGCTGCCAAGTTAAAAACACATACACCAGGAAAAAAAAACACTCTGATCTCCATGTTGCATGAGTCCAAAGTTCATAAAAACCAAAGTGTGACAAAAGGAGCTCTTACACCACAGCGTTACTGTTTACCAAGAAGATAAGTGCATGTGCACTGAAAGGCACACTAAATAGGACAGTTCTTCTCAGGCATAATGTGAGTAAAATTCTGATTCTGTTCATTAAACCATAAAATTACATTTGTCTGTGAAAGCTGCTGACCTAGTTTAGATCTTTATATAAGTGAACATGAGTGCATTCAGGCTGCAGCAACTGAAAGATCACATACTGCCTGAAAATAAGGTAAGCAGAAAGCATTGATTTTACAAACAAAAAAAAGGCTTTTTAAAATAGAGATCATTTATGTTGTTTCAAAATATGATGTATATACTTATAGTTATATTTCTGAAGGTTTGCACAGAACACCAGATGTTAGGATAGAACTAACATTTAAGTTGAAATTCAAAGAAGTTAGAGGAAACCAGTTAGTCTGAAGTTCTTGAGGCAGACAAAATAACAAATCTGTTCAAAAGTTTTAGTAATTTTTTGTGTTTATATACTGTCCTAATGCACATGTATGAAAATTAATTTTTGTGATTTTTATTTGTATTTTGTAGTTGTTGTTGAAAGAAGCACAAAAAAATCAAAAATATTTATTGTCAAATAACTGTACTTTCCTCTTAAATTTTTATTCATGCATGCAAAAGTAACACTTTTGTATTAGTATACAGTACTGCAGTAAGTTACAACGTTTGCTCCTATTTTTTGTGCTGTAGATCACACCGATGGACGGCTCTGCGAGTCCTTTGACCACTCATGTGTTGAACACTGCAGCGGGTGTCCCAGGGTCAAACATGACCCTCAGACTCTACCAACAAGACCCCTGGACCAGTGTTTGGAATCTGATAACCAACGGGTAATAACCTTCTAAAATAAAAGTAAAGGAAACCAACAAACCAGTTATTTAAGAACCTGACACTTTGCAGCAAAACCACATTTTTATTCACACGTTCTGTCAACAGGACCACTGATGATGATGGACGATGCCCAGGGCTCATCACACAGCAACAGTTTAGACCTGCTGTGTATAAACTGCATTTTGAAACAGCTCAGTACTGGGAAAGTATGGGAGAGACGTCCTTTTACCCCTACGTTGAGGTGAGGAAAGAGCAAACATGGCTTTTGTTCTGTTCATTTATTGGGGCAGAGTTGTAGCAGATAAGAAAAGTGTTCCCTCGTGATGGTAACTATATTTTTCTTTTTGTCTCTTATTTCACAGATTGTTTTTACTATATCTAACCCAGACCAGAAGTATCATGTCCCACTGCTCGTGAGTCGTTTCTCCTACAGTACGTACAGGGGAAGCTAAAGTCATGCTCAGCCTCCTGAGTATCGTTTCATCTAAATACTGTGACACCAAACAAGTGGTATGAGTCCACCAAGGACAGCACTCGGTGGTGAATAAAGGTCTTCTGTATTTGACTTCAGTAAAAGTAATGATATTGTTCAAAATGAGACTTGTATTAAGGAAATGAACTACTTTATTGTGAAAATATATTGTAAATAAACTGGAAAAATAAGTGTACAAAAACAAGACAATAAGGGTACTGTTGTATGTTATTCTAACAGATTATTTTCACATTTAGTGAATAATCAGCTTTACTTACTGTAGCTCCAGATTTTGTAGAAATGAACACATGACCCTTCAAAGATCGATAGCAGCAGCATTTTTGTCTCTTCAAGATAATTTCCATAATATCTTAATCATCATAGAAATGTAAGGGTGCATCAGGGATGATCTGACCTACATTACCTATATAGATTGGGAAGAGGGTGTGTCTTAAGAACGAGCCTTGTGGTACACCATTGTTGACTGTTAAATATCTGGAGGAAGTACCATTATGTTGAGCACATTGCCTCTAATCTGAGATAGGTAGTGAACCAACCAATGGTGTGATCTGAGAAACCAATTTCTGAGAGCTTATGACAGAAGATGTCATGCAGTGTCAAACGCTTCAGACAGGTCTAAGTAAAGTGCAGCACAATAATCCTTAGCATCCAATGCTTCAATGACATCATTGAAAACCTTCAACAAATTGTGCTGTGTTGTTTCCTGAAACCAGATTTATGGGGAGGTAAGATGTTAAAAGAATCCAAATACTTTTTGATTTGAGAGTTTATCAGATTTTCTACAACCTTGGCTAAAATACAGAGTTTAGAGATTGGTCGATAATTGTTCAGTGAGGTGGGGTCACCTCCCTTCAGAAAAAGTAGAAGAAAGGCTGTTTTCCAAGAGTCTGGAACAGAGTTTTGGCTTATGGACAGGTTAGATGTGAGACACCTGTTCTGCAATGATATGAGCGGACAGCCTTAAGGTGGAAGGTCATCTGGTCTTGCAGATTTTTTAGGGTCTAGACCTTTTTAACAGTTTATTAACCTCGCTAACCAAAAACAATGAAAACGAGTAGGTGTGGTTTACTGAGGACTGACTTGTAGGAGAGATTTGATTTGATGTTTGGCTTAAAGAAGAAGTGGCTGATTTTCCATTAGTAACTTTGGCAAATAAAGAACTAGAAGCAATAAAACGTCTGTTGAAACCGTTCTGGATCTCGTGCTTATTTTTTCATTCAACCTTTATTTAGACAGGTTAATCCCATTGAGCACACAGGAACAGAGTTAACAAGAAGTTGTGGTGGCAGGTTGGATGAATGAGAGCTGCCCGAGAGAGATTTGATGGTTTTCCAGAAACTTTTAGGGTCACTGAGATTTTTGGAGATCTGAGATGAGGATTAATTATGTTTCGCGGCTTTGATGGAAGCTGTACATTTATTCAGCTGCTGTTGAAAATTCCACCAGTCAGTGCCTGAGCCAGAGTTTCTGGTTGTAGCCCAAAACTGATCTCTCCTGTGCAGATGGTCAGCTAGCGCAGGAGTAAACCAGGGGCTGTCTTGTCCTTTTATTCTAAAGTGGCGAAAAGGGGCATGTTTATTTACAAAGTAGATTAAACTGTTCTGAAAATATAATAATAATAATAATAATAATAATAGTGATGATGATGATGATGATCTAGAATTGCGCTGCTCAAGGTGGCTGCATGTTGGAGCAGCTCTGTTACTTTCATTCTGAGATTTTGCTTTTGGAAACTTTAATTCCTCTTTTTCTGGATGTAAATAACATTTTTGGATGATTGTTTCCTCTGGTATCGGATGCTGTGCAGCTGGAAGGATTTTTACTGAAACTTTTTTAGTTTTGGACATTTGTTATGATGCGTAACCATGGCAACAAGGCAGTTTTCTACAACCAACAGCAGCGGATTAACGTCTCAAAAGCTCAAATAATATCTCAACTACAGCCCCAAATCTCAAATGAATTGAAAGGATGTTCTGTGGATGCATTCTCATCTACCTGCCAGCTGTGCTTGAGTACCTGACCACTGAGATCCTGGAACTAGCAGGAAACACGGCTCATGACAGCAGAAGGACAGGATCGTCCCTCGACACCTACAGTTGGCTGTCCGCAGTGATGAGGAGCTCGGCAAACTGCTGGGAGGAGTGGCCATCACTCTGGGAGGAGTTCTGCCCGGCATTTGGGCAGTCCTACAGCTCGGGGGAGCCGAGAGGCCAGCCGAGTCTGGGTGGACGGATCGGACGGCATCTGCAGCCAGTTTTTTGGGATCCACTGTGGGATGGACCTTTACAAGAGATCCTTCCTGCCTACAGCCATCAGCATCTAAAACATCTCTTAATGAAATGAGGATAACGAGTTACAACAACAAATAATTTCCCTTTGGGATAAATAAAGTATTTTTGAATTGAATGATGATGATAATATGATGATATAATATGGTATATATGTGAATATGCAGTCTGTGTGTGCATGTGTGTAAATTATAAACCTTGGAACAGAAGTTTTGCACAGATTTTTCTGTGTTGCCTCTGAATCAATGAGGCATTTTCTGACATTTCACTTTTGCCACTTTTAAAATGGTGGCGACGTCAATGATTCAGCGCTCAATGAGGCATCTATGGTCGACGTCTACAGTTGATCCTATATATATTTATAATGTAGCTGGTTTTTTTAAATATAATTTTCGTCTATTTTTTTTTTTTCAATTTCTATGCCCAAGATTGTCCAGTTGTCATTGTTGTCTACTGTGTCATAATTCTTAGTTAAAAACAGGTCTCTCTTGTAAAGGAGTCCTCAAGGTTCAATGAGACTAACCTGTATAAATAAAGGTTGAATATATATATATATATATATATATACACAGACACACATATACACACACAAGACACCCCAACCCCTGCAAAGATATATTGGTGTTTATATGTTCATCGATGTGATTAATCAAAATCAGTCAAATGTTCGTTCTATTTATTCAGAAAATCAACATGTCACATTTCAGGAGCTGGTTAAAATAGACACCGATTAAATGTTAAATATATTTCTATATTTATCACCATAGTAATAGTGTTACACACATTTGTAAACACTCAAAATAACACTTATGTTCCTTTAGTGCTTACCTTTAGCCTAAATATTTAAGGAGTAAACATTTTTAATAATCACTTTAAAAGGTATAAACGTTGTCTTTGGTGCCCGTTTGTTTTCCAAATGTATTGGTGTGTGTGAATGACAGGGATTGATGAACATAAAACACTTTGAAGAACGATGCTTTATGAAGTCAGTCCATTTCCTTGTATCAGAGGACCGGCAGATCTGCCACATCCAATATGGCGGCCGCTCCGACGTACGGCTGCAACGGATCAGCCCACTCAACGAGGTGTCTACTGAAAATGCCTCACCAGTTCTCTGTTGTGAACGCCCTGGCAAATGGAGAAAAGCCAGAGGAGTTTTGCTATGAAATAATTATGAATGATTGTTTGAAATGTGTTTAATAGGTTAACTCAAAAACCGCCGATCTGACTCCAAATCAGGGCTCTGGATATACATATTTGGAGGCGACAGGCAGGCACACACACAGCCATACATAGACGTATACGTCTGTGGGCGCGCGCCCCAAACACTCATACTGTGCCGACCACTAGGGGGCTCCACTCACACGCAGATGTCAAGATGTTTTGATTTTCAAAATATGTAGTAAACATTAAATATGCAAAATGTATTTTTTATAAGATCTTAAAAGTATGTTATTCAAAGTGTTTAGCATAATTTTGCTGTTGTTTATGTGTAATACTATAATAAATGTTTGCTTATACTGTTTACAAACGGCCTCTGTTTTACACGATGTGGTGGGTTGCCAGTTGGGCTTGTTTTGGTCTTGTTTTCATAAAGCTGGTAGCTTGCAAGATCTGGCAACACTAACGCGGTAATGCGGTTCCAGCTTCAGCGTTGTAGCTCTACATTACTGTAAGAAACAATGGCAGACGAAGAATTAGAGGCAATACGGCGGCAAAGAATGTCGGAGCTGCAAGCAAAGCAAGGGGTAAGAACTCAACACGAACTGGGAGCGTTTACGGCCGCCGTTCTGTCTGTTCACCATACATGTCAGAGTAGCATAAATAGAGTAGCGTTAATTCGCGCATGCGCATTCTGCAAGAGGCCCACCACGTTTAGAGGAGTCGTCAGTTCATCATACACTACAAGATACGACAAAAAGTCAGTAACTTGTTTTGGTGTACACATGGTATTATTGTGTATTTACACAATTTGCAGTGTGCAATGCATTTTCTGAACCGTGAATTCATGAACTTTATTTAGTCAGCATGGAAACCAAAAGACACGATAGGCCTGTCATGGCGGCTGTCTCCATATCCTCCATCTGCCTTTACGAGCCGAACTCTACGGACCGGTTCGGTTCCGCGGGGAAACCTTGGATGTTCTCCGTCTGCCAGACTCGGACTGGACGGCAGCTGCTGTGGTCCTTATTATCATCATGTTGCTGAAGGGACCTGCTAACAAGACCTGCTAACAAGGCTAACAAGACCTGCTAACAAGGCTAACAAGGCCT